GGGGGGGGGGGCAACCTGCTCTCTTTGAGACATTGTCTTACACATACACAACATCTACATGCTTCCAGTGTGTGGGCACAGGTGTGACCTACTGTGCTAAAAGGACTGAGCTTTTGGTCATGTCACATGACGTACCTGAGAGATCGTTTCACACCTCATCTCTGACACTGCCTCATCCATTCAACAGCTGCAGGGTCCACAGCCACATGGACGCCCAATAAATGACTTCACTAGAGTCCTACTAGTGGACATGAAAGGTGTTTCTAAGTTTTACTAGTACAAACAGTGCTGCAGTATCCTTGCACATATTCGTATGCATATTTCTCCATAGGAAATATTCCTGCCGTGAATTTGCTGGGGCAAACAAATTTTATATTTTGAAAGATGTTGCCAAACCGCCCTACAGAGAAGCTGTACCAATTTACATTCTTACCAACGCTATGTAACAGTGCCTACTTCCCTTCATCCTAACCACATATATACAGGTTGGGGCAAAGATAGGTTTACAGTTGTTCGTATGGAAAATAATACAGTAATTAATAAACAATAATACAATAAGCTCTGTTTTGAGTACTCACAACTGTAAATCTACCCTTGCCCCACCCAGTATTATCAAACTTTATCTTCACCAAACTGATAGGTTAAAAATAAAACCTCAATGCAGTTTTAATTTGCATTTCTCTTACTCATTTTCCTGTAAGAAGCCCTGTTATTTTCTTTTCTGTAATATCATCTGCTCTTACTCTTTACCTGTTTTCCTATTTTGTTGATATTTTTGTGTAACTAGTTTTTAGACATTTTAAATAGTAAGGAAATAACCCATATATCTGTAATGAGTGCTCCAAATATTCTTCTTAACCTATCATTGCCCTTTAGATGTTTATGGCACCTCCTGCTATGCAAATTTTTTCTTTTATGGCTTCTGGGTTTTGCAGCACATTTATAAAAGCCTCCTCAGGTTGTTTAAAAAAAATTCTCCTGTGTTTTTCAATTTTTGAAACATTTATGTCTCTGCCTTATCTGGAATGTATTACGTAAGAGTGTTTAAATCATTCTTAATTTTCAATTTATACACAGGAAAAACAATTTTAGACAAAAATGAATCAAACTATCACCAGTACCAGAGATTCCATATCAATCTTTTCCTTTTCAAAAGTGCTAACGTATTCAGAGAGGCTAAGTGCTGCCAGAGCTTCGTGCAAAGTCAGGACATCGTCATTTTCAATATCAAGGTCACAAGATTCATCCAAGGTCAGCTTTGGCTCTTCAGGTATCTTAAGAAAAAAGTTGGGGAAACATTACAAAGCTCAGAAAAACTCCCATAAAATGTCTCCCAATCTACAGAAATCGTAAACCATTCTGCTCTATAAAACAAATCTTAATTTTTGGTAGTTTGCCATCCAAAGTTTTAAATATTTTGAAAAAGCATATAAATCAACAAATTACGCATGCTCCCATTTCTTACAATAACAATGAGCTATATGGTTCCATTACACTTGTAAACCTCAGTATTTTGTTATATAGAAACAGTTCAGATTTGGGGAAACTGTTCCACTCCAACTCCAAATCTAAGTGTTAATTGGGCCATACCTGCTTCTCCTGAAAACGTGGCTGCTTCACAGCTCCATCAGCAACAGCAAAAGGCCCTGGAGACTTTGATAAAGTCAAATCTTTCTGATTAGACAGGATGTCAAACAATATTAAAGAACCTAAAAAATAGAAGCATTTGCTTTATAATGTTCTAGGTGCTTTTTATAACACTAAATACATTCTCCTACTTTTTCTCAAAGTCCCTAGGCAAAAGGCACACACATTAGGTGCTAATCAGGATCTGATCATCAGCATCCCTGTCTTACCGAGCAGCAGAATAAATTAAATACAAAGCGTCCGTAGGTGACATGAAGGTGGCTAGCAGAAGTGCCTCTGAGCTCAAAGCACCCAGTCCCACACTTCATAAAACGTAAACCTGTCGTTCTAATCTTGTACCAGCATCATCCACCCTGAAAGCAGTGATGACTCAACAAATATTTTGTTTAAAACATGAATATTTGACAGTTTTACCTAAACTGTGACCAGCCACAGAGATCCCTCCTTTGAAGTCCGGGTTCCGACTCAGAAAGAGTGCGTGCAGACGGTTTATCTCCGTTACCACCTTTTCCACAATCTTCTGACAGTAGGTGGGGCTATTGTAAAACAGAATATCTAGCAAGGTTTCGTTGGTAAAGTGACGAAACCGACCAATACTTGGTAAAGTGATTTTCTTAATATTCCTGTTTAGAAAGAAAAAAGTATGATGTCAGTAGCTACCTTAAATCTATGAATTTTTTTTAAGTTTAGATTTTGAATCCTGAACATACACTGAGTAAAGAAATCCCACAAACTAATTATGAGTTGATTTTGTTTTTTAGAGTTATCCTAAATAAATCAAGATTAGCCAAACAACTGCTATTTGTGCCTTTAACCATACTATAAATTTTGGAAATTTCTGAAGAGATATCATATAAAATAAGGCTTATGAAAATATATTTTTATTTTTAAAGAGCAAAGCCTACTCTTTCATTTTTCTTCCAATTTATTGGAAATTGGGATACCTGATAAAAACTGTTGGTGGAAAGGACAATAAAGTATCAGGAAGAAAGGAGCTTAATGGAATGAAGATCTTTCCTGATTTGAGAATGGCCACAGCAAAGTTCAAGAACATCCAGAGAAAGAAAACACCCTTACACCAGGGCCTAGCATGGATAAATGCTGCTTGCAGGATCACTTTTATTAAACCATGTGCTCTGAAACATGATGACGAGCGCCAAAATGCAGATGTTATTTAGCCTGTGTCCTAGCATAAATATTACCTAAAATTAAAAAACAAACCCTAAATCCCTGGTGCTTAATTGAAAACATTCAAAATTGAGTGGGGGCATTTTTAGTTGTCACAATGCCTGGTGAGTGCTGTGGGCATTTAGACTAAGGATACTAAATGGCCTACAGTATACACTCAACGATCTGACATGATAAAGAATTGTCCTGCCAAAAGAGCCTCCACCGAGAAACAATCATTCTCAACCAGAAACGGTTTTGACCCCAGGGGACATCAGGCAATGACTAGAGGCATTTTTGGTTGTCACTGTGGGAAGGAATACACTACTATTCTCTACTGGGTAGAGGCCAGGAGGCTGCTAAACACCCTACAACGTACAAGACAGTCCTCTATCAGTATTTTAAAACCAGCTTAAATTACCTAGATTCTCTCAAACATATGCATACACAGAAAAGTAGCATACAAATTTAACAGCCAGTATTTAATTATATGTCAGAGCAAAGATAAACTTAAAATAAAGAAATACATTTGTTAAAATCCACAAACCTGTCAACACCTGTGGCATCCCCACCCAAGGAACTATGCCAATGAACTGGAAGAAACTCCACTCTGCTTATTTTCCGATCATCTAAAGATTTCCTGAAATGTGTCTGCAGCAATTTGAGAGAAACTACCCTAAAATCATCCACTAAAAAAAAACACAGGGAAAACAACAAATTAATTAAATTTCCTTAGCTTGGTATATAGTTAGCAATTACCTCAAGTATGCCAGTATTTTTTATAACAAACTTTTCGGGGTGGGGGGAGAATTTAGCCCCCCAAACAATAAACCTAATGTTCAGAAAGTTCTTTTAAACTTTTCATTACTTTAGAGGTATGGATAAATGAGTGAAAAACTTTAGTTTACCACATACAGGCGGCATGGCACTGTGGGTACAGACTCTGGAATCAAACTACCTACTCCAGAACATACAGACCATGATATGGGAGAGGTTAACCAGCCTCTGGGCCTCAGTTCCTCACCTAATAATGGGGTAGCAGTGATAGCACCTGTACACCAAGGCTTTATTTTGAGGGTTAAATGATACAATACGTGCAAGACACTTAGCACATACCAAGTATTCAATAAATATGAATTATTATACAGATATAAAAATAAAACTTCAAAAATTTCTGTAGCCCTGGTCAGGTAGCTCAGTTGGTTAGTATTGTCCTGATACACCAAGGTTGCAGGTCTGATCCCTGCTCAGGGCACATACAAGAATTGACCAATGAATGCATAAATAAGTCGAACGACAAATGGATGTTTCTCTCTCCCTCTCTTCCTCTCTCTCTAAAAATCAATTAAAAATATTTCTGTAAACCAGGCAAACTCGTACTTTCATTATACAACTTCTCACAACCAAGTATCTATAAATAAGTTCAACATACAGGTGTTCCTAGTTGCTGGAAGTGCCCAGGCAGAGGCTGTTAGAAAAGCTAAATTATTTCCAAGATCCCATCTGATTCTTCAGAGTCTAGAGTTTTATGAGTTATACATGTCGTAAAAACAAATTAAGTACAAATTAATATTCCCAGCGATCACTTAAATCTCCTCTTATAGCCCCTCAGCTGGAAGCTATTTTAAAAATGAACATTTAAAAGTCCTTCCATTAGTTCCCAAATCATTCCATGAAATACAATGACTAACACTTACCACATTCAATAATGCTTCTAAAGTGCAAGTCACACACAGGTCCAATGCCATGCACCATGAACACCAAATGGTCGACCTGAGGCATTTCCCCTACAAAAGAAATACATGCATACATATCCACTGGAAACCTGTTTGGTTTCCTTAACTGAATAGCAAAATTCTCAACATCCCTTTTGCCATCACAAACATACCAAAGGAATTCATGGCCCTCCCAACTAATAAGGCTCATTATCTGCTGCCAAATTGGAAGAAGGAAACTCAAAGCTGGTCTTGGCAAGTAACAATGAACTGGATCAAGTAGTGGAGGAAGCAGGCCATCTCTGCTCCCAGAGGTTATCAGCATATGATGACCAGCAGTTCTGTACCTACAGAAGCTCCATAACGTTGTGATTTCTTCAGAACTTCACAGGGCACTAAACCCCAACGTGGAGAGGCAATTTGCCAATATAAAACTCTAAAATCTTTCCCCAAGTCCTTCTCTTTCATTTGTTAGATTCACACATACCATATATAGGAACATCTCCGAGTTAAATCTACCATTTCACTCTGGTTAGTTCATTCAGATTCAAAATGTGAGTACATTTGTTTTGTAATTTCATAAGACAATGAAACAAATATAAGGTATATAACTGTCAAAATAAAACTCGTATTTTAAATGGTATAACAAAGAAACCAAAGCAGTAACACTGGGGCAGCGGTCAGCAAACCATAGCTCAAGGGCCAAATCCTGCTCACTGCCTCTTTTCATAAAGTCTTACTGAAACACAGCTCTGCCATTTGTTTACACACTGCCTATAGATGCATTCACACTGCAAGGGCAGAGTTCAATATACACAACAGAGTCCACATGGCCTGCAAAGCCTAAAATATCTACTATTTGGCCTTGACAGAAAGTGTTTGCCACTCCAGCACTAGAGTAAGACAAAGGAATTGAGGTATGACAAAACAAGCCCAAAGCACAGCCAAAAGCCTAGTTTCAACCAGCAAAGTAATTTTTTACAACAATACATATTTTAGAATCTGCATTACATAGTTTGTATATTTTCACAGAATTCTAAATTTAAAAATAAAGATAAAAAGGTTCTGTAAATTTTTAAAAGATCTTTGCTAACTTGTTATGGCAGGTAACCCTAATCACTGTTTCTTTTTGTCATCATTCTAAAGAATGATGCTAAAATAGAGAAGTCTAGAAGTGGCACTGGTCCTAAACAAATTTTACTCACCGTGGGGAATTTCATCAAGGTTATCATCAATTCCACACTTTACAACCCTGGGCCTTGTCTGTCCATCTTGTGTGGTCCCCCATTCATCTGGCACCGACGAAGGCTGGAACTGAACAATAACCTTCGAGATAAAACAGAAGGGTTATGACAGCTCCCTACCAAATTCATTTCCACTACAGACTAAGTAATGTATTTCAATATAGTAAACTACTTCCTAGTATGGATCCTTTATACATTAAGTACTAGCACTGTTCACCCCAAACCAATCTGTAACGATCCTGCTATTGATCATTAACTGTTAAAACTAAGCAAATCAATGCCATTATTTCCAATGCTAATGTTGGAAAATAATACAACTAAATCAGAATATACCTTGATTTAGAAATGTAATAAGAACATCCAAGCTTACACATTAGAAATTAAAGAAAAGTTACCTGCATAGAGGAGCCTATTTACAAATGCATCTTCAATGCCAAACACTGACTGATTGACACTTTTTAGGAAGGTATATCTTGTTTAATCAAACTATATTAAATTAAACCTGATGTCCTATGAAAATATTTCTTTAAAATACTGAATGCATGCAAGATGTTATGCAAAATTTTTGTGTTTGTACCCAAAACAGAAGGTAAAAAAAAATCTAAAAAACAAAAGGACATGCGTGGTTCCTGTCAGGAGAACCAGGAGAGTGAAGAGGCTTTATTTTCATTTCACACCTTTTCATACTGTTTAAATTCTGCTGACATACAAACGTGTTTTTACTTTTACTTATTTTTGTATCAATAAGGACTATAGAGGTGGTTAGAATATAGGTTACTGAGCAATGACTGTGTGCCAAGCACTATGCTAGATGCTTTTGCATAAATTCCCTCACTTCACCTAAACTATGGCCCAGGGAGGTAAATCTTACTGCAGGTGAAGAGCCTGTGGCTCATCGAGATTAAGGTTGGTAAATGAAAGAATGCAAATACCATTAATCGATACTTTAAAAAAAAAACCAAAAAACCAAAAAAAACCACAAGTTTCTAAAGAGGAAGAACATATGTTATGTTTCAAAGGTTGAAACAAATCTTCAAAGGCAGGGTAGGCAAACCACAGCCTTCGGGCCAAAACTGGCCCACCACTTGACAAATAAAGTTTTATTGGAAAAAGCCATGCCCAATGTCTGTAGCTGATCTCAGGCTACAAGGGCAGAGTTGACAGCTGTAACAAAGACCACATGGTATAAAAAGCCTTTAATATTTACTCTCTAGCCTTCACAGAAAAAGCCAGCTGACCCTTGATCAAGTGCAAAAATTTGTCAAGCAACTTCTATGCTGCATACTAAGCTTCAGCTAACATGTTGCCATAAACAGAAATTTCATGAGAGAAATTTAAATTTTATTTTTGTTTCTATGATCAATGTGAACTATAGTACACTTAAAAGCAATGTGCTTGTTATACATATATCCTTATGGCAGCAATTAATAAACAATCAAATACATTCAGCAAAATAATTATTTAAATGAACTTAAAAAGTTTAACGTCTTAAAAAATATCATTACCTTTGGATTGTGCATAACAATTGTCTCTCCACTTGGAAATTCTAATCTGCGGTGCCACTGATTCGTGGTTACAGCTTTCTTATATTCAGCCTACAATAATGAAAACAACATATACCCATTATTATGAATCTATATACATCAAGAGAAAAAGGGGAAGAAAATTATAACCATGCTGGTAATAAAAAAAACAGCAATAGCAGCTCTCATGTACTAATCTCATGTACTCATTGGTTACCATACTTATCACTTTACATATATTACTTCATTTAAGGAATTACTCTGTCACTCCTAAATAATATTACCCACAGTACACAGAGGCAAAAACCAAGATTTAGACAGTCTACTAGTTTCCTAGGGCTGTCATAAAAAAGCTCCACAAACTGAGTGGCCTAAAGCAACAGAAATTTATTCTCTTACAGTTTTGGTGGCCAGAAGTCTGAAAGCAAGGTGCCATAAGAGCAAATGGTTTAAAAGGGCCATGTTTCCTCTGAAACCTACAGGGAACTCCTTCATCACCTCTTTCTAGCTCCTGGTGGTTTGCCGACAATCTTTAGTGTCCCTTGGCTTACAGGTGCATCATTGCAGCCCTCTATTTTCACACAGCATTCTCCCTATGTCTGTCTTAACATGGCTGTCTTCTTGTATGGATTCCAGTCATAAGTGATCAGGGGCCACCCCACTCCACTATGATTTCACCTTAAATAATTACATGTGCAACGAGCCTACTTACAAAGTCACACTTTGGGCTATTGGAGGTTAGGACTTCAACATATCTTTTTAGGGGGGAACACAATTCAACCCCGAGCAGACATTTTAAATTCACAGTTGAATGAGATTACACAGTGGTAAGCAGCAAAGGCAGAATGGCAGTTCACTCTCACCCAGGACTTTCAGACCCCAAAGATGTTCTTGGTGCACAGGATCGAGATAGCTCTCTTGGCCCTGGCCAGGTAGCTCAGTTGGTTAGAGCATCATCCCCATATACCAAGGTTGCGGGTTCGATCCCCGGTCAGGACACATAGGAGAACAATCAATGATGCATAAATAAGTGAACAAATCGGTGTTTCTCTCTCTAAAGTCAATAAGTTAAAAAATTTAATTAAGAAAAAAAAGATAGGCTCTCTTGTAAACAAAGTCTGCTCCCTGTGAGTGGTATTACATAAGGCTCCAATCTACATCGGGCCTACGTGTTTTAAAGAAAAGCACAAAGGAACAAAGCCACGCACCTCTAGCTTCTCACTGAACTCCTCTGTATAAGGGATGAATCTGCTATCTGCATCTCCTTTATAAAACCAAGTGCAACGCCTCACTTCAGCTGGCTCCTCTTCCCAGTACACGGCCCTCCTCACTCGGTCATAGAGGTGAACGTCATAGCGCCCTCCATCTGTGCCGAGAACCACACTCTCAGGGTCTGGCTGGACTGGAGCAAAAAGACCACATTTTAACCCAACAGTTACAATGCATAGTTAAAAGTAGTAAATAATGAATACAGTGACTAGTTGATTCTTAAAGACAAAGAACTAAGCTCATTTTTATTTAAAAATTGCTTAAGCCCAATCAGAGCGGCTCATCTGGTTGAGCATCATCCCATGCACCAAATGGTTGCCGGTTCGATCACCGGTCAGGGTACATACCTGGGTTTCGGGTTTGATCCCCAGTGGGACAGCATATGGAAGGCAATCAATCGATGTTTCTCTCTCTCTCTTTCTCTCTCCCCCCCAACCCCTTTCACTTTAAGCATGTGCTCGGGTGAGGATTAAAATAAATAAATAATTATTTTAAAAGAAAGAATAGTTTTTTTAAAAAAATTAAAATAAAAATAGCTTAAGATTAATCTGTGCTGATCAAAATTATGATTCTTCAGAAGTAAAGCAATAACCAGGGCAACATTTTAAAACATGATCATAAAATAATTCAAATAACTGGTAGGTTTTTTTTTAACCAAAGCAGCAATACTTATGAAGTATATTTCTAAAAAATATTAATAGATAATTTTTAAGTTCCATGATAAAATATATCAGGATAAACAAAGAATCATATTTTAATTCTGCAAAACTTCTCCGAGCTTTAACATGCTCCTATGCACTATCTCAAAAGGTGAACATAGTTACAGCATTTCCAAAACTCACCTGATCATGGAACACTTTTTTTTACATTTTTTTTTTTAAAATCCTTACCCGAGGATATTTTGTCCATTGCTTTTCAGAAAGGGGGGAGGGTGGACATCGATGTGAGAGAGACACATCTATTAGTTGCCTCCTGCATGTGCCCCGACCAGGGCCAGGGATTGAGCCTGCAACCAAGGTACCTGCCCTTGGCCAGAATCAAACCCAGGAGTCCAAGGGCCAACACTCTAACCACTGAGCCAAACTGGCTAGGGCTTTTCACAACATTTCAAGAAAAAAGAGCTCCATAGAAAATGCTTTATAAACACTCTACAGCTATAAATGATCGGGGAAATAAGAAAACTGACACTCCAAAACAAGAAAAAAAAATTGACAATAGGATTATATGAACTATTCTACTTCTCTGACTTAAAATACCTTCAAACAAGTAAGAAAATTACTAAAACACTTATTCAAACACCTTGCTCAAATAACTAAGGAAGTATATTCATAGCACCATCTTAAGGTAGAGTTTGATATGGTCTACGAGGATTAAGGAATGTGAAATTCACAAAAAGTAAGATGGAGAAACACCCTTCAGTTCTTCTCTCCCTAAGATCAGGAAGAAGTAATGCAGAGTCAGTGTTTACCTGAATTATAGACTTCTTCAAGATTCAAAGAGTCAAACACACTGAAAGGCATCCAGAGTTGTTTATATTCTACCTCCTTGCAGTAAAACCAGTGGGGCTGAACAGGTTCATAGTGGTTTTGAAGCATAAGAGGAGGTGGCACTTGCATAGAGGAACCCACAGGCCTAGCGAAGGCCTGCTGATGTGCTGGAGGGGACATCCCAGACTGCACTGGAGGAGGAATCTGGAGGGGACAAAGAGTTAAGACCGTCATGCTTGTTCCAGGGAACAGTTCTGTCTGTGTTTCAGGCCCATTATCAAGGGTCTGTGTATCAGTATGATTTAAATTATTAAATAAAACCCATTCTCTATCCCCAAGAGTAAAGTCAGGTTACACGCATCATAATACTGCTATCTCTGCCAGTCTGGATTGGGTCCTCCTTTCTTTTCAGTTTCCTTTTTTTTGTTTTAGTTGATTTCCCTTTGTAAGTCAGTTGGACATCAATTGGGAAAAAAGCTTAAGGGAATTTCATAAAATTTAACCAATGAAAATGTTCCATTATTCTCCTGAGACTGAGTTTAACTGTCTCGATCCAAACTCCATAAAGGTAAATAAAAGAAATTACTGCAGTAATACATTTTAGTCCCTGTAACTGAGTATCTTGATTGAATAGTATAATTTAAAATGAGAAGTTAGCAGTCTTAAGATAATTGCTTCAACTCTCACTGGTCCTTAGATCACTTTTATCGTTGGTATCTTGCACTAAAATTTAGAAATATTGGCATAAGTTAACTCATTAAAATCAATGACTACTTCAATACAGATAATATGAACTAAAATGTGAACCATTCAATGAGTAACCTTTAAAAGAATGTTTGCTTCAAAGCATGTGGCTCACAAAGAATAGCCTCTGAAAATAATCTGTCATCATACTGATTATAAAAAGCACTGTGCTTTTAAAAGCATAGGCTAGGTGAGAGATTAAAAATTAAAGTGAATAATTAGGGTACCAAAACATGTCTCCATACCAGTGGCAAAGATCCTGGAGGCGTCTGATACATGGGCACAGGGGGCCCAGAGGGTGGAGGGTGGGTAGAATGAGCTGGTGCTTGGCACTGCTGCAGCTGTGGTGGTGTTATATAAGGGTTAGCTCTGCTGCTTACAGGAGTGTGGCGATAGGGATTGTATCCTTGTTGAGGTATTCCTTGGGGTGGGCTCCCAAAATCTGAAGGAGGGAGACTACTTGGCTGAGAAGGCAAATAAGTATTTGTTCCCATCTGTGAAGAAGCTGGAGCACCATACTGAGCTTTCGAAATGGATGGTGGAAATGCATTCAACACATCTTGGGATCCAGTTGTATAAGGGAGAGAAGCTGGGGGTTTGGAGGGTGCTGACTGTCCAGCTGATGCTGCTGCAGTTGTTAATGGCGACTGTCCAATATTTCCAAACGGATCACTACTGCTTGATACCTGAGAGAAGTAACTAAATGTCTGCGGGGTAGACGTGTGAGCAGAAGTCTGACCGAGAAAGCTGTCCTCCTCACCAACATCTGTGGAGTCCTCTGAAAGGGACAGAAGGGGAAATGGTTTAAAAGGTATGCTACCATTCTGTAGACCTAGCTCTTGCACCTCTTATTTTGTTGTTCAAACTCACATTTCCACATTATAAGAAAAAAAAAAGTTTCCTTTTTCTCTGAAAACTTTGTAAAACTTTACTTAGCTCTGTAATAAAAACACTAAGAAATATGAATGAGAAACAACAAAAGGAAGACAAATTCTAATTTATTCATAAGGCCACTTTCCACCTTTAACAATATTTTGGTACATACCTTTCCATACTTTTAAAATAAATATAGTTACATATTTATGTTGCAAATATACAGAAATTATATACATTTCTATACAGAAGTTTTTATAAATAGAAGCAAAATTTATACCTATTTTTACATATTCTTCTGAATGCTCTTTTTTCCTGGTAAGTTATCAAATAGTATTCTGCTACCCAAATACACATTATTTTATTTCTACGGTAATGGCAAGAAACTAAAGTACAGATATCAACTCTGTTGAGAAGGGGTGTGTCAGGGCTCTTATCTACAAAGCACTCATTGTACAAATGAACATGTGGTATTTATATTCACAAGGCAAAGCAGGCCAACCATGAACTGCCATCCCAAAAACCAGAGTATCACAACCAGATAATTCGTCATCAGAGATGCCAAATCACTAGAAAAGTCCTTTTCTAGCCAACAGAAGTTCTCCACATTTCCCTTTGCCCAACTTGGGCTTCACTGTGGGTGTTATCAGCACGAAACAATTTATCTTTTCATCTGCTACCAACTTGTACAATCAAAGCATTCTTTCTCTACATGGCCTCAAAGGTCCAGCCTTACTAAACTTTCATGAGCCCTTAGCCTGTTGTAACTTCTACTGTCCTCTTCCTAACCTTTTCCTTCTCCTGTTTCCTTCTCTCTCTCCTCCCTCTGAAGGCATGAAGCAGGTCAGAGGGGTGGACCCCGTCCCAGCACACAGACACACTGTGCTCCCTGCCCTTGAGACCTGACAATGGGGGCCCTCACCTCAGGGGCATTTTCTAATTATGTGTGGACACATCCAGCATCAAGACCCACAAGTTTAATGATCACCTACCTATATACTTGTGACACTCCCAACTGTCCCAAATGAGACCGTTCTCATTAGTTCCTGAACCTATTTTCCAACTGCTTCCTCAACACTTCCGGAGGGCTCAGCGATACACCTCAAATTCAGTTTACCAAAAATAGGATTTATAATCTTCACCGTTCCCTCCACATGCTCCTTAACCCCATCTCACCAATCACATCTACTCACCCACTCAAACCAGAAACCTCAACTCACAGACTCCTCTTCCTCTCTCATACCCTCCACTGAATCATTCAGATCCTCACTCAAGACATATGCACAAAGTATTTATACACCAGGCACTGAAGCGAGGTTTTGGGGCTAAACTGAATGAGAAGAAGCCACTGTGCTCGAAGAGCAGACAGTCTAGCCACCAGGGAGTCACTAAGTCCCAATAATGTTACGGCCTGAAAACCTCTCACATCCGTTCCCTGCTCCTCATACCCAATGTGGCTGACTAGGGCTACAGTGCAATCTACTCCTGCCTGATTCACAGTGGTGTCCAAGCTGACCGCTCTTGCTACTCCAGTGCAATCTCAAAGAACTGCAGTCTTTCTGAAACACCTGTAATTTCGATGTCTTCTTCACAATCCTTCAAACGCTCCCCGATACCCCATAGGATGACTACAACTCCTCAGTATGTTACATGAGGCTTTTCTTGATCTGGTCCCCATTGAGCACTCAAGCCACTCCCCTGCACACACTGTAGTTACACGGACCTACTGGGGGAGGGAGAAGGGACAGGGAGAGAGAGGACGAGTGGGAGGACAGAGAATGGGAGCACCTATCACTAAATCCTGCCAAATCTGCAGGTTTTCTCATACCTCAGGTTTTCCATATGCCTGTCTCTCCAGACGCCCTAATTTCTGTGTACCCTTCCATATTGAGCTCAAGAATCACCTCCTCTGTGAGGCCCTGAGGCCTAAGGATGTCCTCTCCCAGGTCAGCCAACCTGAAACCCATAGCTTTCCGGGCAGCCTATCAATCCCTCTCTCTGGCCATTATAAACGTGCATCACGACGGCTCACACAGCTGGGCAGTGTGTACACGCACAATGTGCGGTCACTGGGGGCAATGCCATCTGTGTCTCCCAGACATCTGGAATAGGGCCTGGCACACAGAAGCGGCTCAGTCCACGTCTGTTACATGAATGAAGTTGTTTCCTGTGTGTCTCTTTCCCTGAGATGATTAACTTGTTTCCAGTGAGACAGGTCTTCCTTTGTCTCTGGGAATTCTCTGAATGGGTTTCTAATGATCAAATCTTTTTCAGAGATGGGAAAATAACTTACAGATTTAGCTGCATGTGTTCTCTTACTTATTCCTGCAAACTCCTACAGCCATGCTAGTCCTTCACCAAAACCGGCAATGCCTAGCCTTCCACCACGCTGTCAAAACGCGGGGACACACTCCTGACTCCCCTCCTTTCCTTCCTTCAACAACTATCTGTTGAACAAAGTCCTGCCCTCGTGAGACTTACACTCTAGTGGGATCAGATGGACAAGTGTGTGTAGCCAGGTGGTGGTCAGCACCCAGAAGGGAATCTGCCTGCAGAGACGCCCCGCTGGCCCTTCCTTCTCCACGCACCTTCCCTTCCTGCTCCCAGCAAGAAGGTTACTCAGCGGAAGAGGATTAGCATTTACTAAAGATCCTGGAAATAAAAGGTAATGAAGTCAGACCTGCAAACTTCGAAAGGCCCGCTTCTCACTGGAAACTGAGGTCCAGGCCGGTAAGGGACGCGCCTGCGGCCACAGGGAGCACGGCAGGGCCAGGCCGGGGCGGCTGCTCCCGGACGCCCCGCTGGGTACGCACAGTCCTGGAGCAGCGATCTCTGCGCACGGGCACGACGCCGGCAGGGGGCCGCC